TCCCCCCACATCATAGGCTTCCCTCTCCCTCTTTCTCTGAGTGCCAGCCATCCCTTCCGCCTTCCTCCCTTGGTCTCCATCGTCTCCTGACCACGCTCTTTGGCCGCCGAGATGTCGAGCTCCTCCTCGGCCCCCGCGATGATGCGCGTCCCCCAGTCATCCTACGTCCCGTATCCGATGTCCGGATACGAGATGGTCGATGTGCCGGACACCTTTTCCTCGGAGGTTGGCCTGTCACAACTCATCTCGCATGGGCTTTACTCGTCCTTCGCTACGGTGGCTGCGTCGCCGCTGAACGTCAGCTCCATTGTCATGAAGGTATGGTGCCTTTCCTGCCCAGTCACCCTCACCTCCCTGCCCGGATGTGCACCTGCCGGTCTCCAAGCAGGATGCCTACTGCCGTCTGTCCTTCGTCCCAGCTCCTGTCTCTCTTTTTCTCTCTCTCTCTCACACACACACTGACACTGACACTGACACTGACACTGACACTCTTACACGTGCTGTCTCGAAATCAGGCCCAGTATCAGTCGCCCGGATTTTTCATTCCTCCCACTCCCACACGGCCGGCTCCCGGCCGGGCCGGCCCTCAGCCTGACACGTCGGTCACCAGCCCGGTCAATTACCCCCAGCTGGATGGGCTGATGCGGGCTCTGGTGGCCCTGGTCGATGACAGTGGCGTCCTTTCCCTGTGGAAGGGTATGTATCCCACCGGGGCCGATGGCAGCGGGGGGGGGGGGGGGGGGGGGGGGCACATCGGCCTTCCTTCCCCCGGTTGGATCTCCTCGCGTGTCTATGGTCTCTGGCCTTTTTTTTCTGACCCGCCCCTGCCCAGCCCTCGTTCCACAAACTCTCATGGCCCTCTTCCACAGCCTGACCCAGTCGTCGGCCGAGTCCATCCTCAACGAGGTTTTCCTCCTGGATGACCATGTGCCCATTGAGTCGATGGACCACTTCCTGCCCAACCTCGGGACCCTTTTTGCGTCCCATGCCCTGACCAACCTCCTCAGCGCGCCAGCCAACACCGTCCTCACCCGGTACGAGTCCCCCCCCCCCCCCCCTCATGCCCGGCAGCCATATCCCCGCTGCTCCCCGGCCCTCCTCTCCCATCTCAACATGCCTTCTGACCTTTGGCGGGGGGCTCATCTCTCCTGCTTCTCCTTTGGGGCCCCCTTTCCGCGCCTGGCAGCATGGTTCTCGAGCGCCCCTCGCCCAAGGCGAAGTACACCTCTTTTTGGGGATCGCTCTTCACGATCTTCCGCGAGGAGGGCATCGGCGGCCTGTTCGCCGGGTGGATGCCCTTCGTCCTGGAGCGCACCATTCCGGTCACCCTGCGGACACTGAGCTCCATCTTCTTTGACCGGTATCTCCGGCTGACCGATGCGTCCATCATCACCTCGATGCTGGCCGAGGCGGTGGTCAACCTGACTGTATGTGCTTCCTCGCATTGCCTCTGCTGCTGCATGACCATGTGCCTCCCTGCTTTGCATCTCCCTAATGCGCCTTGCTCCTCTTCTCCGCGTTCTCCCCCCCCCCCCATGCAGGAGCTTGCCATCACTTCGCCCCTGAGCACGGCGGCTGTTCGCCTGCAGGCGCAGCAGGTGTTCAAGCGCAGCCGGCAGCTCTCTCGGCCCTATGTGCCACTGGTGGCCATCTCGCCGGTCCCCTACAAGTCTTGGGTTGACTGCATTGTGCGCATTCCCCGCGAGGAGGGCATCCGCTCGCTGTACCGCGGCATCGAGAGCCGCTTCTTCTCGAACATCGTTCACACCTCCATGATGTATGTCAGCGAGCTGGAAATCGATGAGATCAGCGAGATCTGATCCCTTTCTCCCTCCTCTCCTGTCGCTATCTCTGTCGCTCCCTTGTTCCCTGGCTGGTTGACGTGGTGCACAGTCCCCCCTTTTCTTTTTTTTTTTGCATGCCCCACTCTCAGCAGGATGGTGCTCCCCTTCTCTCGGCACTTTCATCAATAGATTCTCCCCCTCCTTCTCTTGCTCTTTCTTCCTCCCTCCCCCGTCCCTCCTTCCCCACGGTCGCAGGCCGGAATCCCCTCACGGGCTGTCGCGTCTCGCGGTGTCTAAAAAGTGCATTCACTCGGCATGAAGGGCCGAGCCTTCCCGCCAGTGGTCCATCGAGCCCATGCGTCCAGGGAGGAGCGGACCCGAGGGCGGATGGCCTGCCCCCTGTCCGGGGCCGCGCTCCGGCGCGCCCGTTGCATGTTTGCGTGTGGGCGTCTTTTCTTGGACGGCATTCGACCGGCGCAGGTGCACAATTATATCCTGACCACCTCGGCCTGGCAGCGAGCGCTGATGTTCGCACTGTATGGCGCCGCGCAGGCACATTGCCACGTGTGTTCGGGAGTTTGCATGCGAGGGTGTGAGCGCATGGGTGAGAAAGGGCAAGAAGGGGGGGGGGAGGGGCGGGGAAAAGGGAATGCCGCAGGACAGACGCACGCGCGCTTGACATCGCCGCTGCTGGCTTCGTCGCGGGGCGGCAGAACCAACACCCGGGCATATGTCCCGCCACCGGCACTGGCACGGGACCCGCCGGTACACAGCCGCCCGGGGTTGATGACCAGGGCCCCATGGATGTTCTTGATGAAGGTCTTCAAGTTGGAGGGCATGACCAGGATGTCCGGCTGGTATTGCCCCATGGACAGGTCATCCAGGCGGGGAAGCTCGAGGCTGGTGCCGGATTGGGCCGGCAGCACCGGGTAAAGGGTCCGCTGGAGGAGGACATGCTCGGCCAGGCGATGCAGGCGGTCCGGAACCGAGCCACTCCCGGTGTCCGGGGCCTGGCGGCTGATTTCCACTCGAGACAGATGCATCAACAGGTCGGTGGCCATCAGGCCGATGGTCAGGTCACCCAGCTGGATGATGGACGGATTCCAGTGGCAGTGCAGATTGGCCGGGATATTGCGCCGGCGCAGGGCAAATGGCGGCTGGGGCAGCACCGGGCACGGGTGAGTCACATCCGACAGCGCGGGAACCAGGATGAACTGGATGTGCGGCTGTGCCTGGGCACAGGTGGTCAGCACATACAGCACGTCGGCGAAGACGTCGACCGTGGTGCCCTTCATGTTGCCGGACACCACCAAGGGGTGTGTGTCCTCCAGGATCGGGCCAATCTTTTGGACGCAAAGGCCCCCGCCGGCCCACCCCATCAGCAGGGGACATAGCAGGTGAGTGGGCATCAGGGAAGTCGGTCAGGCCATGTCACTTGCTGACGCACGATGATGGCCACATCGGGCTGGGCTTCAACCACCGCATCCAAGAACGATAGCAGGGGGTCAAAGCGGAGGTCGAAATTCGGGGTGTACGGGCCACATGCTGGCATTTGCCGATGGAAAGCGGCGGGCATGGCCAAAAGGGGTTAGGGAGACCCGAGATGGCCTGGCGGAGCGGGGAGGGGGGGCGTGCGAGGCCCAAGCATGCGACGCACAGATCATCACCTTGAGTCCAGACGCCGCGGCACCGGGTGCGCCGGCTGACGGGTAGAGGGTCTCCACCGCCGCCGAGTCGAGAGGCCGGGGCGGCAGCGGGGGGATCTAGCGGCAGGGAGGCCGTTAGGCTGGCGGCCGGGAAGCGGGCAAAACCCCTCATCCGCCAGGCCAAAGGGGAAAAAGAGGCAGGAGGGAGGACGGGAAACGCACCGGCTCGACCTGCGACACGTCGAACTGAGTGCCGGTCAGATTGATCCCCCGCAGGAGGACAACCTGCCCGGGGAAGAAGGAAAAGGACGGGCACTTGTCCAAGCCCAGGGGGATCAAATGTCCGCCGCAATGGCGCGGCGATTCGATGTACACCACATTCCCACGAAGGCTGGCGCCGTTGTCATCGGCAGCCGCCACAATCCGGCCGTACACATGGCGCTCGGTCTGACCCGGGATGACAGCCGAAATGACATCCCCCGGCTTGATGCCATGATGCGAGCAGAGGACCCCGGCAACGCGCTCGAGCTGGCGGTCGACAGCTGCCAGCAGAGAGGGCAACATGTGGTTAGCAAGGTGGACTTCCCGCTGGTGGGTGACAAATACACATGCACATGTGCATGTACATGTGCATGTGTATGTGTGTCTCTGCATGTGCATGTGCATGTGCATGTGCATGTGCATGGGCAGGGAAGGAGGGGAGGGTGCTTCGGGGTGTGTAATCTTCTCTCAAGGAGCAGACAATGGAGGGCGCAATGGCCAATGGGGGCAACGAACCATCGGCTTTCTCGGAAATCTTCTGCGACATGAAGCGATAGTAGCCGTTGGCCAGCTCATTCTCGGCCCCGAGAACGCGGCCCTTCCGTCGGCGAGCGCTGGCCACAACCGGCGCCAGCGTGGCATACGCTTCGACAAGGTTCCCACGATGGACATCCAGGACAGACAGGGGGGACGACGAGGCTCCATTTGCGGGGGCTGCCTCCTCGCCGGCGGCAGTGGCGTTTGCGGCGGGGGAATTCGCCAAGCAGAGAGCATTGACCTTGACGAAATCGATGACCGGCGTGGCGGCCTCGGTGCCGCCTGATTCGGATGGGGCTGGCGAGACGGTTGGAAGCGAGCCGCGATCAAGGCGCGACTCAGACAGGTCCTCATACAGGCAAGTGCGCTCGCCGCTGGCTGTGCGCTGGGTAAAGGGAGTGCCCGGCTCGATGCTGATGGGGGGCGAGGGGGCGTGGGGGCGTGGGGGG